TCTGTCTGTCTGTCTGTCTGTCTGTCTGTCTGTCTGTCTGTCTGTCTGTCTGTCTGTCTGTCTGTCTGTCTGTCTGTCTGTCTGTCTGTCTGTCTGTCTGTCTGTCTGTCTGTCTGTCTGTCTGTCTGTCTGTCTGTCTGTCTGTCTGTCTGTCTGTCTGTCTGTCTGTCTGTCTGTCTGTCTGTCTGTCTGTCTGTCTGTCTTTTCTAGGGCATTCCAAAATGAAGAACGGGACCTCTTTTGGGTCACTCACATCAGCTCTTGACCACTGAGAATACCAAAAAGAAAGACCTGCGCGCCCCAAATGCAGGAAACAAATCTATTCAAGCAAACTCAGCCTTGAGCCTTCTTTAGCTGGGTCTGGTCTTCCAATTGAAAGGCTGCTCCATCCAAGCCGGTCTTTTGGGGCCATCCTCCTTTGATGATTCGTGTGTAAGGCTTTGAGACTTTCGAGTGGCTTTGATCTTTCCAACTACCCAGACCTCGCCCTCGCTAGATCTGTGAAGGCATCCTGCGATCTTGAACAAACCAGGTCCAAGTCCAGGCCGAAACCGTCTGAGCTCGGATGGTCGGACCCTCGGGTCCCCACTCGAACCATTGGGGAATGGCAGGGAGGGTAGGGTTTGTCCCCCCCTGATCCTTGAGCCTGAAAAAGGCTCCGATCGGACATGGTAAGGACATGTAAGGACCCGTAAACCAAAGGAGCAAGTCAAGGGTTGCAGTTTACTGCCCCACTGCGGAAGCTGCCAGAAGTCCAGGCTTCTTTTTGGGAAAAGAATCGAATCTGAAGAATTCCGAAGCCTGGCATCGGGTCATGGAGAGGGCTACCCTTAAACCTTGTTTAAACAACAAAGGTTCGGGTACGACTTCTCTGTGGATCGAACTGGTTCTCGAAGCCGTCCGAAGAGACCTCTTGAATCTCTTGAGACCTCAGAAATTACAATTCCAATGAAATTCTTATTGTTACTACTAGTAAGGCACTTGTTCCTAGTAGCTTCTTGTTACTACTAGTAAGGCACCTGTTACTAGTAGCGATGCACTTGTTCCTATCTCTTGAAGATGGTACAGGATGGCACCCACCACCCCACCACCCTCCAAAAGGAGAGCGCAGCTCCTTTCTTTCTCTGGGGGGGGAGGGGCAAAAAAGGGGCGTGCCATGAACGCCGAACCTTCGCCTAATCGCTTCGACCATTTTTACAGAACGGGAATGGGAACGACCTGGTGGTGTAGTGTCAAAACCCTTTCTAAAACCAATAGTTCCATTGGGACTCATACTAAAAGAATGAAGCTCGGCATCAGTTTTGCATAGTTGGAAGATCCAACATATTATATGTAGTATCTGTTTTGAAGATCCAGGTAGATCCAACACATTATATAGCTGTCAATATACATCTGTAGTATCAAGGTCCCCAAAAACCATTGGATCGAGGTCCTCACACCTTCAGGGGTTACAATCTCTCTCCACATCATATGCCCGGTGCCGCCCGTTTCCTCCCGGTCGAAGGTCTGGAGAATCGTTGAGGTTGCCGTCTTCCGCCCTGGTTCCAAGTCCTACCCCCAGCTGGTTGCAATTTCAGGCAGGAGCTGCAGTTTGCGCGCACAAAGCCCGCTCAGCTCTTTTTGGCTGGTGCAGCTTGGAGTGGGAAGAAACGGGTGCTTCACCATGTCAAACCGTTAAGCCCTCCTTCCATCTCCTTCCTCTAGATGCACCTCCTACAACCCCCGAAACAAACCCACGTTCCACCTGCTTCCCACCGCGCGACGGGCGGCCGCGTTTTGCCACAACGTAAAGTGCCGCAAGGCGCGCGTCGCGTCGGAAGAGGCGGCGTTCGCAGTTCTCGATGCAGTGCGATGGGCGACGGTGGGAGTCGAAAGATGAATTTTTAGGGGACTGAACATCTCATAGCAAGGACGCTACTAGGGGCAGGCCATCGCTATTAGGTTGGAGGCCATCGCTATTAGTAGCAAATAGCTACGAACGTAGCTTCTTGTTGCTACAGGAAGCACCTTTACTTCACTAGGACTCTTTCTTCTTTGGACTCACTGATGTTTGAATTCTCCCCAAGGCTGAAGAGGTTTTACCGTTCACGTCTGGAAGGGTTTTTTTTTGTGTTTAGTTTATTACTCAAAAGTCTACATTACTCTGCGTAAGAGGCCCGGGAATTTTCATGAGACACACGTGGGCTAGAAGTTCTGCATCGCGGCATCGCGCTGAAGGCTTCAGCGGCTTCACAAACGACTGAGGGTCGCTCATCGCTCTGCGGATTTCGATCAGTGGTAGATCACAAATGGAGGTCCCATGGTCGGCAGTTCACATGTGATTTCAGCAGTGACTTCACCAACTTCAGCAGTGACTTCAGTGATGTTGTGCGGTTTTTTCCATGGCCTGGTCTTTCAGGATGGCCTGATGTGGAGATTGTGTTCTTCGCTCACTCTGAGGGAGACCATCCGGCCCCCCATTCCGACCCCCCGAGACACTCCGGGGCTCCGGTTTCCCCAGCCAAGATAGAAGGGGGGGCCGCTGGTTCGGGGGGAGACCCGTATGAAAAAGTACCAAAGTTCCACCCATGGATGCAGTGACTGGGAAGCTTCTGAAGCAACGCATCTTGGGAGTCTTGGTGCCTCACAAGACGTGTCGCATGCCGCGAGTCGGGTCGACCGTCAAAACCTGTGACACCGAACTCTGCCGACGACGCTTCTTCCCGTGGGAATGACCGATCGCCAATCAAAAGCTCGCACCCCCGTCATCCCACCCAGTGGATCCTACCCATACCAGTATATATGGTATATATAGACCAGTGGTTCCACAGACTGAAAAATCGTCGACCGAACGAAGAGCCCCTGGTTTTCCTGACCATCCCTGGCTATCGATCCACTTGGCTGCGGAGTTGGCTGCCCACTCTCTGAGCACCGACCTGACCGGACCCCATTGCCAAACGTCCCACGACCGACTGATTGAGACATTCGACTGAGCGGAAAGACATCAACGAAGAACATGAAGCACTGACTTGAAGAGATGGGAAGAACTGGAGGAACGCAGAGCGAACAAACACGGAAACACGTCCCCCACATGAGAAAAAGTATCCTCATAAAGGGCCACAACAACATCGAGCTGCTCAGATATTTTTTGTGGACCTAAGTGCTCTTGCAAAAAGCTGGCTTAGAAATGGGTTCACCAGTTGGGTGCTTTGTTTTCCCCACGTCCAACTCACTTTCGGAGGCTCGGTGCTTGGGTGCGTTGTCCAAAGAGTCTCCTCCGAACTCTATCGAAGAATTCACATCGTTTTTTGGAGTCATTGTTCGACTTCTCAAATGGACCTCCAAGAAGGACCTCCAACTGCCAAATGCTTCGACTGTTCCTGCTCGGGCTCAACAAAACAGGAGCAAATTGCTGGAGCAAGTGCCACTCTTCAGTGCTTTCACAGGCTGCAGGCTCGCCGGGTGAGCTCGCACCCAAAAAAACATCACTCTGGAATTGAGGGAGTGCACGTGAGGAATCCTTGTTACAGCGTTCAGGTTCAGTGGTGCTCTCAGAATTGTGAAAACCTCCCTCCTCCCCGCTGCCCTTCGTTTGCTTGGTGACCTCTCAGATCGGGCTATACCTCGCTGCCCAACCCCAGTTCGGACTCTTGTGGGGAGATCCTGTAGCCTTTCGGTTCGCCACCGTCTGAGGTTTCCAAGCAATCAAATGCTTTGCAAAAGAAGAAGTCTACGGAATAGATGCGTTGAAAAGCATGTGTTGTCTTCTTTCTTTTTTTGTGTGTGTGTCTGAAAATGTTTGAAAAGAGAGCCCCAACAGTCCCTTCCGTTTGGGCCCGTACTTTCCATTTGGGGGGAAGACATATGGAAAGGATTCAGTGACGAGAATTTCGCAGCCTGGCAGCCTGCCTCGCCTGCCTAGCCTGCCTCTCACTAGACCTCTGAATAGTGGAGGGCATTGTACAAGACCCTCCTGGCAGCACTGGCGGATCAGTGACCACCGGTCAATGGATCAAAAGGACTGAGTGGAGAATAGGTGGGCAGCCGTATAGGACTCCAAATCACTATCCTGTTTGAAGTGTCCGATGTGTAGCTTTATAGTGTCCGTATAAGAGGATCAAAACGCCCTCCGTTCACGGCATTTGCTTCACATCCCAAGACAGCTGTTCCTATTCCATGGATGGGAAACCAAATAGAAAGTCTGTTGATATAGCTGGATCTTCCAACGAAATGCAACATGTCTGCCGAACTTGGCTGGTCTTTATCGATGAAGTTCGGCAGACCTTTTGCATGGTTGGAAGATCCAGGTATGGTTTCCGCATCTTGTACGCACCAAACTAGGACCCCATCCTGGATCTACCCTACGTCCAGCACCAAGTGGCAGGTGCCCGGAAAGGTCGCCACGGGTATCGTCGGGTCGGAGGTTCCGAAGCGTAGCGCTTCTCTTCCACCGCATCTACCAGGTTGCACAGACCGCACAGACCCGACGAATATACGTAGCCTAGCTTGTTGTGTATAATCTTCAGGTACAAACAATGGTTGTTTGGTAAGAAACATGAAATGAGGCATATGTTGCGTTTTCCTTGCTGCTCAGGGCTGCACGGTTCACCGGGCCTTGGCATCATATTTTTCCCTGGTTTCTAAACAAAACTCTCCCTTTAACATCTGAAACGTTTTACTAAACATGTCTGTTGGTTTCTCGGCCACATTTCTGAAGCTTCACTACTCCTACCACCCCCTCTTTTTGGGCCACCCAATAGCCGACCTTTGTCCACCCGTCTTTCATCTTCAAGCAATCCTCCAGCGCTCAACTCCTTGAGGTTCCATTTCATCCTCCCACACCATCTCGCCACCAAATCGGCCCAGCTCACCTCATTTGTTCCAGTGCTGCCTTGCTATCTTCCTCATTCTGCGGGTACGTCACGTTCTGATACATGATCGGCTTCTGGCGCATGCGGGAAAGTGACGTCGAGTGACGGACCTGCCGTTTCTGTCCGTTTCTGTGGTAGTAGCAAGGTGCATCGCTGCTAGTGCACTTAGCTACTAGTAACAAGAAGCTAGTAGGAACCAATAAGACATCAGACCTTTGCACGCGTGAGCAAGACATGACATGCAAAGCTGCGTTGGCTGCGTTGGCCCACTCTACCAAAACTACAGGTGTCATGCGGGGGGGGGGGCATCTCCCCTGCACTGAACTACTCAATACGATCCTGAGTTCCATTCTGAATGTCCCCCCTTGCAAAATCATATCTTTTACGCTGAACAAACGAACAAAAACAAGAGTAAAACAACATCAAGCATGTGTATGTTCAACAAAAATTATGCCATTCATTGACTTCCTTCCAAAAATCAACACTCGCAGTCCTTTTGGCACCACCTTGAAAATGCCATGCAAAGAAAAAAAAGAAAACGCCACACAACGACGCAGGCCTCGGTCCAGTTCTGTGGGTCGTTCTGGTGCTGAAAGAAGGGCGTCTGGCGAGCACGAGACTGCGGAACAACGCCAACGACTGCGGGACGTCCCCGGGGCGCGAAGTTGGGACGTTTTGGGAAGAAAAGTGTCCTCTATGGATCCACTATGTTTTTTAACTGCTGCCTTCTGAGAAGGTGAGGTGTTCGACACTTTGATCACAGGTTTGGAAGGTCTGGAGATCCCTTAGAGTTTGAGCTAGGGGGCTTCCAACCCTAGGTTGGAGGCCATGGCTTCTAGGGTGGAGGCCATGGCCCTTTTGTTTGATGGATTCCTCTCAGGGAGGCAACAAACTCCCGTTGGTTCCTTCGGTTCCTTCAGTGATGTAGAATGCAGAAGGGGAAAAACACAAACAGCTTGATAGGATTGGTGCCCAACGCAGCTATCCAAACGCCCTATCGGGCCCTATCCAAACACCACTTGGTCTTTCATCCAAACACAACTGCCTGGCCCTGCCCTTAACTTCTGAGATATGTTCTTCGGATGTCTCGACACTTCTCCAAAAAAAAAAAAACATGAGTTTGATCCAAGGACGTGCTCGAACTTCTCACCACGCACGTCTCGTCTTGTAAATCGAAGGTCCCAAGTCCTCCCAAAGCGAAAAGCAACGAAGACAGGTTCCCAATCGAACATGAGCTCCCCCCGTTGTAGGTCCTCTTACACCTCGTTAAAACATCAACTATATGCAAGGTGTGTGACGGGATTGTAGTCCTGCCCCCTATCAGCCATTGAAGTCGAAGTCGGCCGTCAGTCAAAGCCAGTAGAAAAAGGTCAATAAATGAACTTCCTACCCTGCCCCCTGGCTGTTGAGAAAAGAGTCTTGCACCAAGTGGCACAACATTGGAGCGTCATGTCATGGGCATAGAACTGCTTCACCTCCTTGTCCTCTCGTTTTCTTCGGCTCACACGGCTGTGAAACCGTCCGGATGACTGTCACTCGGCTTTGGAAGAAAACACCCGGAAATCCTCATGGTCCTGGGACGCCTATAAGATGGAGGTTGGCAGATTGAGGACCCTGCGAATCAATAGTTTCATGATCTCCGAAACATCTTCCATCATGGAATTGCTGCTCATCCTCTTCAATCTCTGTGGGGTATCACTGCAATCTATGCTTACTATTATGTGCATGAGAAGAAATGCAGGCTTTACACCGATCAAGAAAGCGAAAATGTCGATACTGTGTATATATACATTCATATATATACATACATATCCCATACCGTTTCTATCCTGAAGGGAGGGGGACCATGTCGTTCTCCCTCCTGCCCACTCCAGTATACGCAAATGCGTACTCCCATTGGTGGGAGACTGTCCTATGACATGAAACATATAGAACCCATATGGCTGTGGGTCAAAGCCCAGAGCCCCAGGGTAGGTTAACCTTCTTAGTAGTTCCTTCTGGTACCCTGGTGCCATACCTGGATCTTCCAACGATGCCATGCCACATGTCTGCCGAACTTGGCTGGTTTATATCGAAGAAGTTCGGCAGACATGTTGCATTTTGTTGGAAGATCCGGGTACACACCCAGCACGTTGAGTGTAGCGGCGCGTTCACTTTCGCTCCTGCTGCCAGTTGTAGACTCGGATCGTGGCATCTCCCCCAGCGATGAGAACCGTCTCTTCGTCCACCATGCAAGCGTCACTGGCGATGCCTAGGCAAGCTAAACCACGCGGGGCGAGCCAAGGCGATCCAGGCAGTTTTTCTTCCAAGTGCGGAGGGCAGAGAGCCTTAAAAAAAGGCAGATCTCCAACACGCACCCCCTTTTTGGGGGGCGTCAATAGCCTCCAAACAGAGGTTGAAGAACATGTCCATTCACCACCCCTTAGTGGGTCCTGGAAAAAAATTCACCTGGAAGATCCACTCAGATACATATCAAGTGGACAATATCAATTGATAATATCAACTCCCACACATTCCTACACTTGAAATGTCCCACACTAAATTCCTATCATCAACTCATGCATTTGATGCCACACTTGATTGATCTTGTCCTAAGTCCTAGCCCTGACATCATCTCGCTGACAACCTCCGATGGGTCGACGGGTGCACAACAACCTCCAGACCATCCAGGGCATAAATGCCCACACAACATGAAGGTAAATAGATCATACACCGGAGTGTCTGGTACCCGCAGAACCCCACATCTATCTTCAATCCCTTTTAGGTTCCTTTCACCCCTCCCCCCTTGGCTTTCCGCGTTGTTTCGCGTGCCAAAAATGAGCGCGTGTTCGGAACCCGTCCAACTCGTGGTCATGCGGGTCCTGAACCCAAAAAACCGGTCGGCTCGTTCGGAACCCGCGCGCAGCGGCGATCGCACCGTCGCTCGGCCTCGGGTGGCGATGTCGCATTTGAGCTCCGGCGGATCGGCCGAGAGGTCCCAGATCTTCACCGACTGCGCGCGGCCACGCGGCGCGGCGCGGAGTGGACCCAACGGGCACGGTGGGGGACCGGGGAAGCGGACTGGACAGTGAAGAAGGAACCGGGGCGTCCAAGAAGGTCACTTTGGCACGATTTGTCTTCTTGTTTGAAGCGAGATAGACCATAGGCATCCATAGGCCATCTTTAAAGTTTGCAGGTGCTATGTGCAGGGTGTTCTGCTGACAAAGTGACTCTTAGATCGTTTGGTGACCCCGTGGCCTTTTCGGGTCATTTCTTCGTCCAACCACACAGGTCCCTCCGTGCACCCCCGGCCAGGTCCAACATCTGAAACCACTGGACATGTAAGAGCTTTGTCGGCCAGTTTCTGCAGTCCAACGCTAGAATGCCCCGCAGGGTGCTTTGCCATAGGAGCTACTAGGGGCTCCTGGCCTTACTACTAGGAGCAAGGACGCTACTAGGAGCAAAGGGCATCGCTACTAGGAGCGATCGGACGCTACTAGGGGCGATCCTCCACTTGCTGCACCGTGCTTTTTTCCTCCGACCGGTCAAGGCATTTTATGCACTCGGTCAGAAGGCAGCTCGGTGCTCCCTTCAGATGAACCCCAAAAGTACGGTGCTTTCCAGCAGGCCATTTGAGTTCAATGTGGTTGACCAAATGCCCTCTCAAAGACCCCTTGGAAGAAGGAAAATGGATCGAAAGCCATTTGGGCCAAATGGGTGGGACCCCAATACAACACACACCCACATTTGGTCCACCAACCTAGTGCAGCACACGGTCCTGAAGAGCAACAGCACTTCCCCACGGCTCGCCCTTTTGGGAGCAGGGGCCGTGTCCACCCGAAACGGCTCCCGTGGGTTGGTCAGGGCCTTGTCGCCGGAGCAGGTGACGATCTTCTCCTCACCTGCGTAGGCCAAGCCCAAAATGCCATTCCTCAGATCTGCCATTCCGTTGGAAACGTGGTAAGAAACACATGTTTTTGGCGCGGAGAAATCTTCGACTGGAGATTCTGAGGGAATTGGAGATTTGGGTGGAGGGAGTTGGGATGCGTACTGTGCCAGTATGGTAAGGACCTCAAGTGACCAAAACGATGGACTCAATAGACTCTAGACTCCAGTTCCAAACCCCTTCCAAAGCCAAGAAGAACCTGATATCGTCTATCACTCCCTTGAGACCTGGCACCATCTTCATCCCCCTGCCAACTACTGAACCGTCTTTTACCCTGGGTACAGGGAGCCCCACCATCCAAATGCCGGACTTTCGATGTGTCAAAAACAGATGTGTTTGATGGTGACAACCAGGAGCTTCGGATGCTTTGCGGGAAAAACACAACACCGAGCTGTGGCATCTCTCTCTTCAATCTGAGCCTCCCATGGGCTTTGAAACACCGCAGAACCTTGCGAGAGTTCGAGAAGATGATTGACTTCAGGAGGCTATGTGGGTGAGGACACTCCAGGATGTCCAAGAGCCTACCAGCTACCAGGTCTTTCTTTCCCTCTCAGAACTCTAGGCACATGAAAGATGTGTGACTGTGATAAATATGGAACAAGCCTTGCCTTTTCTTGGAAGAGTAGGATCTAGAGATGAAGACCTCTCACAGACTGTCGTCTCTGTTGTGATGAGATAGAGTATCATAGGGCTCAATCTAGCTGCAAGTCCGCACTGGAAGCTCTCTCAAGACTCCGAATGACCACCCAAGGTTCGGAGTAACTTCTGTACCACTCACTTGGACGGGACACCAAAACACAGGCCTTAACCCGTCTGGATTGATAGACGGAGGCCAGCTCCTTCCGAAGAAAGGCAGCTCGTTCCTCACTCCAATGACCTCTGCAATCTCATCAAAACGTCGAGAAAGCGATTTCTCAGATCGACCCGCCTTCAAGTCTGATGGCTCACTGGCATCCCAAATCACCACGGTCCTGCAGACTGTCTCGGCAGGTTTGCTCGGGGTCTGACGTTGGCATGGCCAGGCGATCCAGGATTCTACCATGCGGGTGTGAGCTTGTGAGCTGTGGGTGTGGGCAGCAAAGAGGCAACAAAATGTTGAGAGTATTCCGGTCACACCACAAGCATCTCATTGACACCTGCATGCTCCCTCAAGGTACTCAGTTATAGTCAATGCTCCAAGACTACGACCCTCACGCGTGCACTCGAAACGAAAGGCACTCGGATCGCTTAGAACCGAGCGACCGGTCTCCGGTCTCCTGTCGTAGGAGCAGCTGGCAAATTGAAGTCCATCCTGCGCATCCGAACCAACGGCCACGAGCGGCGGCCGCCACGAGCGGCCTCCGGACGGACGGATTCCTTCCAACGGCGGCCGTTCGCTTCGCGTCCTCTCTGGTTCCGTGAAAACGCGAGGCCAGGAGCCCCGTTCGGTTCGCGTCCGATCGCTCCCTTCGTAGTAAGGCCAGGAGCCCCCCGTTCGGAGCTTCTTGTTCCTATTAGATGAAGTGCGGTAGTAATCTTGCACAGTTGGAAGATCCAGGTATGGGGTCTGTGAACCCTGAGAGCCCTGGAAAATGCCTCATGAGCTACCCCGCACTGGTGGTGGTGGAGTAGTTCATGTTCGTCAAGTTTCGGAAGTTCGGGGTTGGGGTCTCTACATACGGGGGGACCCTTAGCCCCCGCCATTTCTCGTCCCTGGCTGGGTCTGTTCCTGGTCTATCTTCCGAAGCAAACCCAGGGGCTCGGAGGTCTACTCAACCCTCTCTCCCTATCTTGAGCTACACACCATGTCTTTTAATAGGGAGACCCCCTGGTAGACCGGTCAGTTGTTGGAAGGGAGTCATTGCCTCAAAGGGCCCCTGTACAAGAGCTGATATCATTCCTTGCGGGCCTTGTACGAGTAGTGACTGATTCAGATGCTGCTCCACGCTTACAAGGTGACTTCAGCAGAGGTGACTCCCGTTTGCCCCACGAAATCGGGGCGATGCCATCCCTGTCTTCACCATGTCGTGGAGTGCTGGGTTCCACATGTCGGACCGACCTGCCTTAACTGACGCCTCTTCCTTCCTTCTCGTCTCGAAATCGGTCGCGCAACTCGCCGGTGCTCCACAGGGCCTGGCCCAAATGGCAAAGCTTGATGACGGTGGCAAACCTGCGGAGCAGTAGCACTGCGGAGCACTGCGGAGCAGTTGCAGGTTCCACACCAATCTAAACTCTTAGATGAATAGACCCCCCATGTGAAGAGGATGTTCAATTCAATTGAGGGTGGTTTATGAACCAAGAGTCTACAATACCACATTCAATTGAAAGTGGTCGACCCTCAAACACCTGGGGCGCCGGGGCGGAGCATCTCCGCACGTCACGACGCCGCCGCGCGTCGTTGCCGGTCGCCTTTCGGAGAGCTTCCATCCCACTCCAGGCTCCCCGATCTCCTCGCAGTCTTCTTTTCGATCACGGCACCGTGGCGGGGTAGGTCTTCTTTCTGTGAAAATGGAATGCAAACATCACGAACTTGACAAATACATACCAAATACTGAGTTTATATACCAAACAAAAACATACCAAATGCTCAACTTTTGCAAGCGATCGGGCAACGAGTGGGGCGAATCATGTGGCCCTGCGTGCGGTCAGGACAGAGCTCGAAAAATAAACAATCGTCACGAGGCCTGGCGGCTCACGCGTGGCGATGACAGAGCCCTGAAAACTCGCTGAACCCAGGAGCTCCGTTCGTAGCGATGCCAGGAGCCCCCGTTCGTAGCGAACCTGGTTCCATCCATCCGGTCCACGAAGTGAAAACGCGAAGACACCACTCCTCCACGGAGCCCCAGGACAACCCGCCCCCACCACTTCCGCCCCGGTCGGTCGACGAAGCGCCTGAAGGCGTCGTCGCCAAACGGATCGAGCCAGGCGTCGATCGCCCCAGCGAGGGTTGATCGTTGGACTTCGTTGGGGGGGTACCTGTAGGTGGTACAATTGGACCGTCGGTAGGTCAAAATGACCGGGCAGCGACGTGGTTTTGGGGTTCCAAGTGATCTTCCAAGTTCTGCCATGAACTCGAACTCACACAGTTTCGGTGATCAACTTTGAAGATCCATGGTCACTGATATCCACTGAACATGGGCAGCAATGAAGCTTCGTGTGGTTTGCCACATACAAGTGGAGATCCAATGCGTATGTCTCGTGTCAAATTCCAAATTGGCACAGTTTCTCGGCCACCAAACCCCAAAGCTTATCGCTTTCACCCGCCCAATCCCTCCTCGCCATAACCCCGATGGCCAATCACTGTGGAGAGGCACTTGCCACGATCCTTGGAAGGAAAAAGGCATGATATGGCATGATTCATAGGGATCAAAGGGACATTTGCCTTGGATCAAACAACAAGTTGAGACCGGTGTTGTTTCCAAAAGGTTCTTGAAAGCTCTTGTCGTCGACTCGGACAACAGGTTGGGGTGGGGGCGAACAAACACCCCAACCGAAAACACGCGTTGGTTGTGTCGCACTTTGTTGCACTTGATGCAGGTGGTGTTAGGTCTGCCGGCAACATACCTGAATCTTCCAACAAAATGCAACATGTCTGCCGAACTTCATCCATAGAAACCAGCCAAGTTCGGCAGAAATGTGGCATGGCATCGTTGGAAGATCCAGGGTGTGTTGTATCTTTTGACACGGAACCAGGAAGTGGAGAGGTGAATTCCTGTTTGCTCTTCGGAGTAACAAAGGGCGCCCGTCCGGGCGCGTCCAGCCGCGCCATCGCGCGCGGATCGCGCGGGTGACGTTCGTCCCCCAAAAGATGATGATTTCACCGTGGAATCCCGTGGGAGATCCATACGAACTTCTGTTTCATGTGGAAGATGTGGGGGAGGAGAATTACAGGACGCTACTAACAAGCTTTGCGAACCGAACAGGGCGACCCTGGCCGAAGACGACACAAGTCCGGACGCGAACCGAACGGATCGAATCCCTCGACCCCATCGACGGGAAGATGACCTGCGCTCCGAAAGAAGCTCTGGCGCCCAAACAGAGTCATCCTGAAAAGAGACTCAGTAGTAACAAGAAGCTAGTAGGAACAAGTGCATCGCTACTAGTAACAAGTGCCTTACTAGTAGTAACAAGAAGCTAGTAG